TATGAGATTTTCAAAATTCTGCCAAGATTTTTCTATCATTAATAAGACTGGTATTCCTTATAATCCTCAAGGACAAGCAATATTAGAATGCTGCCATCATACCTTAAAAACATATATTGCTAAAGTAAAAAGGCAGGAGCTAGGGGCTCATCTCTCCTCTCCACATTCTATTCTTTCCCTTGTTTTATATTTTTTAAAATTTTTATCAGTGGACTCTGCTGGAGTATCTGCTGCAGATAAGCACTGGAGGGCTCCTGTTACAAATCACCCTCTGGAGCGATGGAGGATCTTTCTACTGGCACTTGGAGGGGACCTGATGCAGTGTTGGTGTGGGCCCCGGGGATCTGTTTGTGTCTTTCCTTGGTCAATTAGGTTCCTCTTTGGGTTCCTGAGTGCTGTGTGTGCCCTGTGGCTGCTGCTGAATCCCAAAATGGCAGAGACCTATTGGGCCTTCATGAAAAACTCTCCCCTTTTGATGCCAATGGGGATTGAGAGCCCAATATGGCCAGCCTTGGCAAGCATTAATGTAAGCCTAGGAACTGTAGCCATGAGGTTGGATTCTTCAGAAGGTAATGTATGGTAACTGCTTTTTCAAGTATGTTTGAGAATGTGTCACCCAGACACCTTGGTGATTAAGGATAACTCTGAAAGTCATTGACCTTCATTGGTTAACTATAGCATGCCAGCTAAGCCTTTCATATTTTGCACTCCTCTTCAAGCTGGTGTAGTACCTACTTTTCAGGAGTGGCTCTGTGAAACATTTATTGGTCTCCTTAAATACATCTAGCCTCTTTTGAAGATACCTTAAAATTTGTGAACCTGAATGTAGCCATTATGAGACCATTAGTTCTGTTCCTTGTTTGCTGTCTTTTTTTCTTTCTTTATGGTTCTTAGTTGTGCTTTTGCAGAGCTGCCACTTAAGTCATGCTGGGATCAAGAAAAATGGGCCTTGGTGGTTCATGTTCCTGGAGGTGTGTCCATGCCAGTGGACCATAGCAGTTAGACACAGATGGTGCTCATATGCTCCAGAAGAGAATCTGACATCGCTGTTGCAGTTGTTGCTATGATAGCGGTGGTGGCCATGCAGCTGCTACTGTTTCTGGGATTGCTATTTCATAATTGGTTGCTAGAGCTAGCACATTTATTTATTTTTATTATTTATTTATTTATTTTTAGGGTTAGGGTTAGGGTGTAGCATGAACCCTAATAAATTTAGGGTTAGTGTTAGGGTTAGGGCTCGTGCTCCTGCTCACAAAAGTAGCCACCACAGTTAGTTAATCTTTCATTCTATTGGGCATAATAAATTTAATTCTACAATTGTACATCTGAATTGGCTTTGAAAGTTGTAAAATTTGTAAAATTCAAGTTCCACTTGCCCATGGGATACCACCTTATGAGGACTCCAATTTGCAGTAAGGAACGTTAAGGAAGGGAATGACTCAATTGCCTTTAGCCTACTGGCTTATGGGTGGGTTAGGACTTCTGTTGGTCTTTCCTATGTTGCCCAGATTGCAAGCCCAGCGCCACTTTGAGATCTTTGGCAGCAGTTACTCTACAGCTCAAGTTGTTGAGTCTGTATGATAATGAGTATTCTGAGAAGGGTAATGCCTGGGGGGTGGTCATTGGTCATCAACCTAAGCCAGAGCACCTGTGTGGCTTAGGCAGGTGTCTCCATGACTTGTAAGGTGACCTGCTGACCTCCCACACAATCTAAGTCAGAAGCTCATTTTTAGTAAAAAGGGGGGACCTTTGGGCCATAGCCCCCCACTGTGAGTGGCTGCTGCCTTGCTTATGACCTTGACCAGATGTCCTCCCTATGCTGACTCCCTGCTGGTTTCCTTCTTACTGAAAGATCACTGGAGGTTCTTTGTTTGTGTATCCTTCATTTGGTGTAAACAGCTTAGATTCAAGAATGTAGAACATTGGGTAGGGAACTTCTGCCCTGCAGGGATCCTCCGTTGTGCTGTAAGCCTGTATTTAAGATTTTCTTCCTCTTTCTATAAACAGCATTTGGCATTCTGCTGTGGCAAATGACTCCCTGTCTCTTGTCTGTTATTTTTTAATCCACAGCCCCTCACTTGGATTTGGTGAATGGGTGGCAGTAGCACAGGCATTACCGAAACATTAAGCTCCACATTGGGCATTAATATCTTGTATATTGAGTGTGGGTATAGGTCCAGGCAGATATGAGAAAAGTTGTATGGAGGTACATTAAGGATGAATTCTTATCATTTTCTAGGTGCAGGGTGGATTCACTTCTATGAACTGAACGAGCCTTGGTGAGTAAAGGATCCTTTTATTGTTTTACAAATCACACCTTTAACAAGTCAATTCCATATACAAATGTCTTTGTTCTAAGCCCCCAAGAGAGATAATGCCAAACGCAATTCTCCTTTTTACCATAGGTTTTTTGGAGGGGCATTGGATTTTGTTACTAGTTTGCATAGGCTTTGATCCCCTAGAAAAACTCTCAGCTAAAACTTCAAACACAAGTTATGGAGACAGGGGTAACAATCACAAAAGGCAGATCAAGGCTAGATGCTAACCCTCCAGTATTAAACCAGATATAACTTGTGGGAATTCTTCCCTCAGGTTTCATGAGTCCAAGGTCCATCTGTTCTACAGAGTGAGTTCAAGAACACCCAGAGGTAAACACTGAGACCCTGTCTCAAAAAAAGAAACATATTTGAAAATGTTTGCTCATATCCCTCTAAGGATCACTTATAAAACTCATTGTTTCACCCACTTGATTTGGATAGAATCATGTCTTTGTCTCTGTCATTGATGTTCCCTCTTGGGGAAGTAGCCATTCAGTATTCATGTATCCCCAAGAAAATTTCACACAAAATACCCAAAGCATATCTAGGGCTGGGTGGGAAG